CCGCTGTGATGTATAAGACTAAGTTTTATTATAACTCTGATGTATGAGACACCGTGATGATACTTTATATAATTTGTCAGCTTGTGTGTGTGATTGATTCCTGGGCACACATGAGTTTAGTGCATTCAATTTTATCCTTAAAATTGGGTGTGACATTGATGAACACTTGGCTATCATTATGGCGGAGAGAAATGGTCGTTCAGATGATTGGGTCATGAAACAACACAAGCAATGACTAACTACATGGTTGAAGGACCAAAACATACCACCTGAAGAAACCATAGATTCTATTACCATTAGTAGGTTGGTGGAGGGGCCATCGTGACAAGTGACATCTTAGAAAGCTTATGACATCAATGGGTACACGTACTATACCCACACAAAGGATAGTAAATATGTGAACCAAAACAACAACGTTTGAATAGAAGCTCTTGATAGAGTGGGGCGAAAGATCCAATACTTTGGCATCATTGAAGAGATATGGGAACTTGACTATGGAAGGGATATAACAGTGACCCTGTTTCGATGCCACTGGATCAAACAACACCAACTAAACGAGATTGAATTGAGAGTGCTGGACCTCGAGAATCTAGGCTACCAAGATGACCCTTGGGTGCTCGCTTCACGTGTTGCATAAGTTTTCTATATGCCTGACCCACAAAGTAATCTCCCCCCAAAGAAGAAGGCAAAACATGTGGTTGCCTCCGGGAAACAGCACATTATTGGAGTTGATGGCGTGGACGATGTTGAAGCTTATAATAACTACGATGAGATGCTGCTATTCATAGACTTTCCTAAGAAGATCAGTGTTGTGGAAAAGAATCTGCCTAAAGACATATTGCCATGGGAATGAAAAGATGTCAAGAGAAAAGTCGTTACAGCGGGCTAGCTAGTTATTGAACATGGAGTGTTTGTGTAAGTGTGTGTTTGTAAGACTTTATTTATGCATGTGTGTGAGACTATATATTTATGTATGTGTGTGAGACTATGTATTTATGTATGTGTGTGAGACTACCATTTGCAACATCCAGATGAACCTATTGCAACATCCACTCTATTACTACTAAAACAGCTGTAACACACAGACACTTAAAACAAACAATTATTACTACTGCAACATGTTTGGATTACTATTGAAACACTTAAACAAGCACTTAACACTTTATGAAATGAAAAAATGACCAAAATAAAAGTTAGAGATCTTGATGAGTTATATAACTTTTATATTCATCACCTTTACAGCTGAAATCATTTAGTGGTTGAAAATCAGGTTTGAAGTTGTTATTTTCTAAAATTTAAAATTTGAATTATCCAAAATTAGTGACAAAGATACATGACCAGACTAAAATGATAGAGCATGATTTTAGAAAATTTTAGGAAAAAAAAACCATCACATTTGGAGTTAGTATGAGGGAGAAAAACAAGTTACAAGTTTTAGCCACAGATTAAAAAGAGAAATCACACTTGTTCATCATTGATCATCATGAACAGTTGTGATTTTTCTTTTTAATCTCGGGGTAAAATTTGTAACTAGTCTTTTTTCCTCATACTAACTCCAAATATGCTGATTTTTTTTCTAAAATTTTCTAAAATCATGCCCTATCAAGTTGCTGTATTGATTTGATCATTCTTTTCGTTTGACAAAGTTTGAGCAATTCAAATTTTTAAATTTAAAAAAATGATAAGTTGTAACAAGATTTTGAAACACCAAATGATTTCAGCTGAAAAAGTGATGAATACCAAAGATGTATAACTCATCAAGATCTACAACTTTTATTTGGGTTATTTCTTTATCTAACAAAGTAATAGTAAATATTGTTCACAAACCAACATGTCTCTCGTATAGTTCATGAAACTATGAGTGATATGTGAATTTGTGAACAATGTTTACTAATACTTTGTCAAATGAAGAAGTGACCAAAATAAAAGTTATAGATAGTGATGATTTCAACAACTTTTATATTTGCGACTTTTGTAGTTGAAATCATTTAAGGTTTCAAAATCTTATTTGAAGTTGTCATTTATTGAAATTCAAAATTTGAACTGTTCAAATTTTGTCAAATGAAAAAATGACCAAAATAAAAGTTGTAGATAGTGATGTGTTCAACAACTTTTATGTTCATGACTTTATTATTTGAAATCATTTATGGTTTCAAAATCTTATTTGAAATTGACATTTATTGAAATTCAAAATTTGAACTATTCAAATTTGGTCAAATGAAAAGATGACCAAAATATAAGTTGTACATATTGATGAGTTCTACAACTTTGATGCTTACAAATTTTTTATTTGAGGTCATTTAGTGAAGATAAAACTGTTTTAGTTGTTGTAAATTTCGAATTTTTAATTTTTAAAATATTCTTTTTGTAAAGAACAAAATATAGAATTATATATTTTCTATATCAAAAAATGTATATATAGATACATTTATATATATAGAATAATAAGAAAACAAAGATATACAGTTATATATAAAGAAAAATGAATATATAGAACAAGAAATAAAAATAAATTGAAAAATATTTGTAGGGGCGGCTGGTGAGTGAGCCGCCTCTAGAAATGCATTTGTAGGGGCGGCTCACTCACCAGCCGCCCCTACAAATAGTTCTCAGTATAAATATAGGGCGTCCTTGGAGGCCAAAATTTGGTTAAGTCTGGGCGCTCTTGTTCCTTGCGAACGTCGTCAAGCTGGCGAATATTCCCTCCGCCGCCGCCACCGTCTCCGTGCCCTAGCGCTGCTTCCTCTCACCTTCGCCGTCCTCTTGTGACCGCCTCCGTTGCCCGCCACGCTTCCTCCCCCAAACGCCGCCTTTCCCCAGGCCAGCCGCCATGGCGGCTAGGGTTTGCGCGAGAGCTCGCACAGTCGCGTGGCTGCCGCTGCCCCATCCATTTTGGACCTCGACCTCCATCCTCACCGGCCCTTGCGTGCCCGGCCGTGCGCTCTGGTAGTCGTCCCCGCCACAGGCGGCGCCTCCTCTCCGACCTTGCTGACCCTTGCGCGCCCGGCCGTGTGCTCTGGTAGTCGTCCCCACCACCGGCGGTGCCTCCTCTCCGACCTCTCCTCTGGCTGCCGTCCCCCAGCCGGCCCCCGCGCATCGCCACCGTCTTCTGTAGGTAAGCCCAACCCCTTCTCCTCCATTCCCCAACCCCTTCTCCTCCATTCCCCGGCCCTGCATTTCTCAACTATGTGCTGTACAAAGATAAAATATAGAATATTTTGAATTATTGCTGTGCTTGCTGATGCTAATTGTGTGGTATGCTTCTGGATGACTTGCTGCTACGTATGCACCCAAATTAGAATAAATATGTGCTACAATTGATGTGTTCTGCGGAAAATTTTGTGGTGCAGAAAAATATAAACTGAAAATTTTGTACTTGGATGGTTTCATCTCTCTTTGGCATTTTATCGCTTGAAAATTCAAACCAAAACAATATTTTTTAAACAATAGGATATTTTAATGAGTCATGATTAGCTTGACATATTTTAACTGGCTGGGAAGGAATTTAGAGGTCTGTCTATGAGTACGGAATACATGACATGACCTACTAAAATTTGGTACCTGATACTATCTTAATCTTATCACCCACAAATGGTTGGCACTAGGATGTCAGCACCACCCAAAACAAGATGGCTAGTTACAGGATGTACTTATGCCACACTTTCTCCTTTAATCCTTTATAGTTTGAGATTTTAGAGGAAATGATTGGGGAAAGACACTGACATGGTATCAAACCCAGGAGAACATTACTCCACGATTTTGCTGGCGAGAGTTTTTGAAGGGACAAAAGTAGTTTTCAGACTAATAATACAGAGAGAGTACGAGGGCTCCACTAGGTCACAAATAACATCCCCCCACCCCCCAAACACACACACAAATCCACACAGTACATCTAACCGAGCCTATAAATGAACGACTGCTCAAGAATGAATAGATTGTTGGTGACTTGACGTTCAATTTGCCTTTTTTTTGCAGCAACTTATACAACAAAATGATTAGTGCAATTGCATGACACAAGAACAAAAGACAATAAGCAATGCACACGATAATGTTGAGAAACATTAGAATGTTTGCAAGGACAAATGACAGCAATTCACGAAAGAAAGCTCAACTTATATTTTCTAAACAGCTGGCTTTAAAAATCTCATCCGATTTGATACTTCCAATTAGCTCTACCTTTTGAAACCCTGGGTCCAACATTAATGTATATATGAGGTGCTTTATTAATAGTAGAAAACAGAACATGTAATGCATACTACCAAATATAGGTACAGCTACCAGAAACTTACTTTGCTTGAAGTAAAACAATTCCTCCATATTCATTGTTCCTTTTTTTTTCTTGCAATGAACATTATTCTCTGTTCCTCTTTTTCTGTCCCAATGATCCGTGTCCACTATTCAGTGATGCACGAATGCGAAACAACAAAATCTATCCTTGGTAGGTCGATTTTTTTTAAATCTATCCTTGGTGTCCGTGCCTTGTTGTAATAGGCATAGAACAGCCAACAGCAGACTCAATTTGGACCAGAATAAATATGTCATTCAGTGTTAAGAAAAAAATTTCTCTTTTACCTGAAAAGGAAACAGACTGGACAGGTCAGTCACATAATATATTTTTGATACACTGGATATATGATAAATAACATTTGGCGCATAGCCGATAAGATCAAAGGAGCTCCATTCCACAATTAGTAGTGGTGCCACTGGCATAAGGTAGCGATCTAACAGAACATGGGTCGCAGAGAAATCAGGAATGAACAAAGGTTGCATTCTAGGCAAATTTCCTGGCATCAGTCACATTTGCATTGTCTCGATAGAAAATTTGATGCTATCAATATGTTAGTATTACTTTGGGGGCTATCAACCTATACTCGACCAACCTAAAATCTGCATGTTTAAGCTAATTCTTCTGAATACCAACTTCAGCTAACTGGAGCGACAAGCCAGTTTCCATAAATAAATAAAGGAATCCGGTATATAGACACCGATAGCCTGTCCTTTCACTCCACGTATGCAAGTTCACTGGTTGATGAGTTTTCTGATGGCATGGCATCAGGAAGTGTGCGGTATTCCTTCTCTGTGATGAACCTCACTTCATACTGCTCACCGGTTGGATCTGCTCTTTCTTTGGGAAGGAAGCCCTGCTCTCGCACAAGCATCCACTGATCGATAACACCACTTTTAATAGCATGTTTGACTGCCTTGTGCAAGTAAACCTTGTCTGTGACCAGGTGAGGGCTAATTACCAGCATCCTCATGAGGGCTGAAAAGACAAAAAGACACCAAATGTTATAGCAGTTGAATGCATGTCAGACTAGTAAAAGATAAAGTGAGGTTCAAACAGTTTTTAATCAAACTGGAATAATTCTCACCAAAGTAAAGTGGCAATTGTGTTTGTTGCAGCGGTAGGATGCCCAAAGATGGCCCTCACAGCATGCAGAAATAATGGGAGTTGAGTCATACCTCAAATCAGGTCAAGTGCGGTGTTATGTTTGGTGTATGAGCTGCATAGACATGAAATGTAGTTATTCTGTACTATTGTGGATGCATATCGACCGTTGCCACTTTAGCTCACTACACAAATATTTTTATAGGAATAATGAGTGAGAACCCTACTGAATATGTAGTAGAAACTGTACAGACCAAACTTTTATAAAGGTATGGGTTGGAACCTAATACTTATCTGAAATAAAACTAGCAGAGAAAGAGAAAGAAGGGTACAAGTAGTCATTTGTATTGGTATGACCTCTCATTTGTGATATGTTTGTGATCATGTTTATTAATGGTCATGCTGTCTACATTGACAAGACCCTGTTCTTTGTAGGTCCTGTTTTTGCGTGAGCTTTGCATTCTCAGCAAAAGTTTGGAGCCTAAGGGACAATCACAGCTGTTTAGGTTAGTACTTACTCTTAAATTGAACACAAGTTATGATTGTGATGGCCAATTTTGACGTGTTGACGTGATCAAATACTGAAGAGTTATTTCTAGGATCAGTAAAAGGCAGGATTAGTATTTCATCTATCTCAGCCATGAATGCAGGAGGCTCACTGTCTACTAGCCATTCCATTTTATGTTAGAAGTTTAATTAGGATACTTCATACTGTATTCATAACCATAAACATGTCCTGACGTTCTGTAACTGGCTTTTATTTTCTTTTTTTGCCTTTTTCTCTTCTAATATAAATTACGGCAAATCTCTTGCTGTTCTTAAAAAAAACATATTGTATTCATGAGGGGAACTCATTTACCTCTTGTCAGTATTGTTTCTCATGCTCTTTGATGCACTATTGAAAATGGGTGGATCAGAATGCAGGCAATTTTCCAATGACACAACATTCAAGTACAATTTGTTTTGACATCGACGGTCATCAAACTTTTTTGTATCACTTTAATCATATTTTCTCTCCTTTGTCTAGGGATCTCATTGATGAAGGTGCGTTCAACATAATTTCTGATGTGCTTCAGAGTCAGGATAAAAAACTCTTTTCAGCTGGGTAACCTATAGAGCAATCGACGGATTCTTTGCTCTTCTTTGTTTAAACCTATTCCTTTTTGTCCCTCTGATTGCACTATTTGTTTGGGAAATGCAGGGCAAACATACTTGTGTATTTTGTTGATCTGCATCCTGACTTAGTTAGAACATTTATTGCCAATCATGAAGAGAACTACCTAGAAGGCAATTCTCTTCTTGAGTTTCTGGTAAGTTTGCAACCTTTATTTTGAATTAATTGTACAACATTCATATGTGCTTTTAGTCCAAGTAGCGAATTGTATTTCTAGAATCATCTATTGCTATGTGTATTTCTTCTTGTTTTCTCGAACACTTCTTCTACAGAGTTGTTTTTCTTTTAGGAGAATTGCACTGTATAGTTTCTGGTAAGTTCCTCCCCATTATTTCTTCAGTTAGCTTGCAGTTTTGTAATATCAGTTAGTTTTAGTTTTTGGTAGCTATGTTGTCATTTTCAATTGTACTTTCTGTTTGGTATTTGTTAGTAATCTCAGTTTTTAATTTCGATGTGCTTTCAGTTAGCTTGCAAATTGCAATATCAGTTAGCAATATAATTTCTGTGCTGTGTTGTCTCGATTGTTTCTAGACTTCTAGTAGAATATGCAAGAATCGTGGTGGAATTAGAATGGTGAATTTGAATTGCAGACGTTTGGTTTAATCATTTCAGTTTCAACTCTATGGTGCTTGCTTTCTTTTGGGAACTCTGAGAGCTCCGACTGATTCTGTGCCCCATTGATTTTTTGTTTTTTTTGCAGCAAGAAGCCTAAAAGTTCTTCCCTCTCCTTTCTTTTGGGAACTGCAGGCTTTTTTTTTGCCAAATCTCCCCTCTCCTCTCCTCTCCTCTCCTTTGTTTTGCCGATGATGAAATTATCCAAGTCCATACATTATATGGAATATGAGCTGATGATCAAGAACTTGTGAGAAACTTGGCATCATTACCAGCCACCCCTACATTACCTTCTCCTCTCTTCTCTGTTATGATGCCTTAATGCTCTAAGTTCATGATCAAATGATGATTGACATGTTTCTGAGGCCTCTACTACTGTTACTACTCGTTTTTTTGATATATTGTTGTTTTATAGGACTACTTTGGTTTATAAACCTTTTTAATTTCTTATACTTTCTCGCGTACCTAGAGCACACTTTCTTGCATTTATTAGAACAAAGCACGAAATAATGTCGTGGACACCAAACAGTGTAGCCCGATGCCCTAAGCATGATGAGCAGCCAACCTATGAGGAGCAAGCACTAGAAGACCAGCTTACTCAGGAACAGTTCGATAACAAGTTAGAAAAGGATCTAGAAGTGATTCTTACTCAGAAGCAGTGTGACGAGAAGAAAGGGGGAGCAGAAGGAAGAGCAGGAGAGGCTGCTGAAGGCGAAAAAGAGGATGATGATGATGAGGACTCAGAAGAGGGATATGTAAGTTCCGAGGATCCTTTCCCACGTGAAGCCAGAAGGAGGCCAACGGAGGAAGATTTGGACAATGATTTTGAGCCGAACGAGGAGATAGGAATAAAGCCTTAGCTTATAAATTTTGCTAAAGCTTTGGCTGTGTTACCTCTGCTAACATTTTGACTTGTCGTATATACAGGTCTCTCCTGAAACTCGGAAAAGACGACGTCGACGTCCACGACATCTCGTCGGACAAGATGGAGTAGAGAAAAGGAGAGCAGAGGCAATAGCCACAGAGACAGATATTGAGGCCTCTACTCCACAACCTCAATACACAACTACGAACACGACTACCAAGCCAAAGAGGAAACGAGGGGATAGAAAAGCAAACTAATATCCAGATAAGGCATGCTATGTGATAACGGAGGTCGGGCTGGCAGGGGAGATCCTTGAGCCGAAGGAATTCAGAGGATGATTCCGTAATGTGATCGGAGCCCTAGTAAGAGGTAAATTGAACCTAGCAATCCCTAACTGGAAAGAGGTACCAGAGAAGAAAAAGGATGAACTATGGAATAAGTAGCAGAAGCTCAATTTTAGATTTCAGGAGGATAAGCATGAACTGGTAAAAAAATGCTTTCAAGATCATGGGAGATTCATTCCAACGTTGGAGGTCGTAGCTCAACAAGAAGTATATCTATAAGGGGTTAACTCCCTTCAATGAGTTTGGCAACATAACTCCTAGTCAATGGGAGGAGCTCGTGGCTCAGAAGACTTCACCGGAGGCATTAGAGCTCAGCGCCTGTAACACCGAGCTGGCGAAGAGGAACAAACACCACCATCATCTAGGCCCCGGTGGCTACTATGCCAAGGAAGAGCAGTTTAGGAAGATGGACGAAGAGGTCGCAACTTCTAGGAATATCGATGTGAAGAATTTGAAGGTACGCTCAAGGAATTGGATATATGCGAGGAGTACAGAATCATCCGGCGGTAATCTTAAGTTTAATAAGCCAGAGACCCAAGAGACAGTATCAAGGATACTGAAATATGCTGAAGACAAGGAGAAGAGCTCATTCAATCCTTCTAGAAAGAGAGACGAGCTTAGCCTTGGCCTAGGAAACAATGAGCACACAAGCCGCACCAGGGGGCTAGGGAAAAGAATGACCTAGAAGCACATATTCGAAGAGGACAGGCACATGTACAAAAAACATGGCAAAGACCGGGAGGCTAATCTTGAGCTCCAAGTGAAGGCTCTAGTTGCGAAGGCGCTAGAGGAGCAAGGACTGTCTACGGAGCCACGGACATTAATGACGCCACTGGGAGAACTGGCATTAATTGGCAGCCCTCCGAAAGTTACTAGCAGCGAAGGTTCCACTGCAGCCACAACCCTCGTCGATCGCATATGGGAACCAACTAGTTGCACCTTGGTGTTTCTCAGTGGCCGACAGAACATTGTGATGGAGGTGGCAACGGATGTGGCACATTCTCCCGGTGGCTTACACCACAATAATAAGATACCGCCGAACTACACTAGGGTCAAGGTGCATACCATGAAGCCCGAGTTCATGCAGTGGAGGATAGACTACGCAACTCGCAAGGGGCTGGTGTTACTCAGAGATGTAATGGGGCAGTTCATCCTCTGACACAAACGGGACATTATATTGACTGCTTCTTCGCCGCCTCCCCCTCTCTCAAATTTGGAGCGAGTTGTTGAGGACGATGATATATTTTCACCGTCTCATGACCACCATATTCTTGAGATGCCACATTCTTCCCCGCCTCCTAGTGAGCATGTGCCTGATAAGCCACAACCTTCTCTAGCTCGTACCGAGCAAGTGCATGATGAGATGCCACAGTCTTCTCAACAAGCGAAGCCAATACATGAACAACAAGTGCCTCCTAAAGAAGGTGATGCACAAGAAGATGAGGACGTCCCTGAATGGGACTTTGAAAGAAGCATCCAATCACCATAAGGCCAATTTATGTTTCGATGAAAGACGTCTCGTCGGTGCACAAGTGGTATGCCCATGACCAGTTCAAGCCTAAGAACCAAGTTAAAAAAGTCCCATCACGGGCTTCTGAGGAGGCCGTCACTAGCAAACTCCACCAAACAGCAAAACAATATCCAAATGTTGATGCCATCAAATGGTCAAAAGATTGCCTGAAAACATATGAAAAAGACAAGCCCTTTCTACCAAACTGGGACATTCAGTGCCTACCATTTGGAATGAGAAGGTTCCATGATTGGTACTTGCGTGTTCTCCTAACGAGCATAGACCTCATACAAGCATGCTTCCCCACCAGCACATTTGGAATCCTAGCTGGGAAAATTATATTTGACTTCAATGACATGCAGACATGCTTTCACCTTGGAGCAATAGAAATGAATCTAATTCGCACGTGGTGCCTGTAAGTCCTTATCCTCCCGATATGATATAAATGTAATCTTTGGATTTTGTTGTAACTAACCCACGCCATGATTTGTAGAATGCAAGTGCACATTGTAAAACAAATGCCAAGTGTGAAAGCCGGGTATATAGACCCTCAAGCTATAGCACAAACAAATTTTAATTACCCTAGACAGTGGAAACTGGATGCCAAAGAGCTAGCTGCTGGAAAGACCCTTCGGAAGAAAGAGGACATCCGTGCGAAGAAACTAAGGCAAGAGTCCCTTAAGATTTCGGCGTACATTGCCCTGGCTTTTAAAAATCTCCAACATCACTCTACTATATGGCTACCATACAACTTCGAGTAAGTTCAACTCTATACTTAAAGCTTTGTTTAATATATTTTATTCGATGCAAAAGAGCTTATCTAGTTCTATGATTAAATCCATGCAGCAACCACTAGATTTGTATAGGCGTCGATGTCGGAAGGAGCATGGAATGGGTCTTTGATTCAATAGATAGGGACCCGGTGACATACAAAGACTTCATATCGATTCTCAAGAGGTATACATATCGACAATCCTCATTAGCATATATGTTTGTATATATATTTGTAACATTCACTTTTGGATACTAACAAGTTGTATTTGCTAAAATAATTCGAACATGACATTTAGGTTCTATGTCAATCAACATCACGGAAGGCATGATCCAGTAAGGAAGGAAAGACTGGCTATAAAAACA